CTCTAAGGGCAAAGTAAATTTCTGGAGTGAGATTTAACCTTCTGTCTGCTCTTATTACTGTGAGTAGTTTGAATTTGGTATGTATTAAGATTTTTGTGTTAAGTGTATAGAAATTTTTATAACTAAGGATTTTAAGTAAGATAGTTTTGTATTAATACAATTGGATTGCTATACATTTAGTGGGCACTAACAATATATTAACCACTGAAGGAAAAAACGTTAATTTTGTCCAATGGCTACACAATGATATTTATACATAATGAAGTCACAAACGTAAGAGGGTATGATATTATTCATGTATTGTTGTCACCTAGCACATGGAAGAAATTTTACAAGAACCATGATAATGCAATTCCATATTTCTCTAATGTATTGCAAGTTTTCAGTAAATAATTTCTGGACATATCATTTTGCTTTCTGCCAGCTCAAGACCATGAAGTTGCTGCCTTCAGGAGTGAAGCAAGCATAAAAGGAAGGGACAGACATCTTGGAATGCAGACAGATAATGTTTCTATGGTTTGCTCAGAAACACAGCACCTCCCGACTAGTAAGTGTGCAGGTCAAAATCTATGTGTAATCTCTATTCTCTTTATATGACTCCTCCTTCCCTTCTTCTCCTCCTTCAGTGCTAGGGATTGATCCATCCAAAGTCCTTGCACTTGATACTAGGCAAAGGCTCTACCATTGAGTTATATCCCTAACCCTTCACTTCACCTTTTTAAAGTTCATTTGCACCCCAAATTTCCATAAGACCCAACTGAAGCAACTTGATATAGTTAAAAATATTAGCATTTAAATATTTGGAAGTTTTATTTTGAACAAAACAAATTACTATTATTTAATATATATTTTAGAGAATTTTAGAATAATGAATATCCCTTAAAGAAAATGATACATACAAAGGGAGGAATATGAATATCATAGGTTAATATTAAATCTTTTTTTTAACAAATCTTTTTCTAATAGAACCTACTCATGTGGAAAAGTCGAATGTTTAAAAATTTAAATCGAAAAAGGAAAAACCCCAGGAGAAATTAATAAATCTTTTAATTATCCAAATTAATGTGACCTTCCACATAACAGGTAAATTCCAACATCTATTTTTTTAGAGGTAGTGTGTGATTTTCAAAGATGGCAGACTTGCCTATACAAATTTACTTTCTGTAGACCAACATTTAAATACATTTTAACTAATTGCATTTCCATGAACCGATGACAGGAAGGCATTTTCTGTGGCCAAAAAAAGAGAACCAGCTTGGGGCTGGAAAATTGTCTGGGGTGGACAGGGGATGTAGGTCAGCGGTAGAATACTTGCTTAGCATTATGAGGCCCTGGGTTCAATCTCCAGGGTGGCAAAAATAAAATAGTTTTTAAAAAAGAAGTTGCCTGCGAGTGTGAATGATGAATATACTGATAGTACATATCTAACTATAAAAAGCACCATTGTATGCATTTCTTAACTTCCACATGCCAAAGGTACAATGCATTTTATGGGGCTCAGAGGTGGGGGCAGCTCTAAGAAAAAAAAAAGTGTGGATTGAACAGCTACTGATATACATCTTTGCATTTTTCTAAATTCACTGACGTGGTCAGTCTTCAACCAAGCCTGAACTATTGGCCTCCTTTAGCCATTACACTGTCTATAAAAGCACTGATTTACAGTAAGCAACCGAAAACTGGCTACACAGGAAAAACAGTTCTGGGAAGACTATCTTTTGCTCCTCTTCGCCCTTAACCCTCAACAGGTTCGAATTACTGTTGTAGGCTCATTCTGTTTCAGTACAGGGGTAGTTCCTAATATCTGTGTAAAATTTGAGGACCTTTCCTCAAGAATTTGTGATATTATTTCTATTTTCAGGGCTAAAAATCAAGCAGAATTATCTCCAACATAAGGCTTATCATAGTTCAGGAATTTAATCAATAGCTTTGAGTACCACAGAATTTATAACCCATGGAATATAACGTGCTTTTCAATATTATGTATATACCTTACTGTAGGAAATAGGCTCTTGTTCATTTCATTATTGTAGTGTCTGTGTTCTTGTTTGTTCATTTACTCTTTCAGTGTCACAGCTGTGTTTCTGTGCCTCTTTCTTCCTTTAGACCAGGAGAGAGAAAGATATCTAAATAAGTTGACAGAATTTCATGTTATGCTATGCGTGGTATGGAAAGCGAGTAGGCTTAAAAGAAGTTTGAACAAACTTTTTATTTTAGTGTATTTTTTCCCATACAGATTAAAAAGCAGAGCTAGGCATGGTGGTTATTCCCAACTACTTCCAGCTATTTGGGAGGCTGAGACAGGATTCAAGGCTAGCCTAGGCAACAGGGCAACCTCATTTACTCACATTTTGTTACATTTATACTTGTTATAAACATTATACTTCGGAGTATCTGGTCTTACATTGTTTTCTACCTCTCTAATTTTTTAGGAAAAATTTTCAATTATACGTGAAGTTTATAAAAAGTCAATATTCAAAAATTAATTTCATAAATAACTACTTTTCCAACATGATCTGATGTGTAAAGTGTAATGAAAACACAGATATGTTTCAAAGGCTTGATTTGTGGTTTACATTTAAAAGTCAGGCATTTATTTTATGGAGTTGTTCATCAAATTAAATTTTATTTGGTCTCTCAAAATTTTATACTGTTAAATTGTTATTGGTCAAAATGAATGTAGTTAAATCATAAAACTTGCTCCCTGGCAAGAAATCTAAGCATTGAATGGTTAGATTCTCTTGTATCATTTTAAATTTTAGGACTCCCAAAAAAGTATGAATTAATTGGAATTATATAGGAATGAGATTCCCACTGAAAGAAAGAAATGGTACATTTTTCCAGTAACTTACTGTCAGTACTTTTGTACTTTTTTGCCCCATTGTGTGAAGGGTGAAAAAAAGGTAGATTATTAACTCTAAAAACAAACATCAACCAATTCAAGTAGCTTTGGATTATGGTTAATTTGCTAAACCAATAGTATAGAGGTCAACAGGCCCTACTTCGAGGAGCTTACTTAAGGGGGATATTTAGATTCTGACCTTTTACTTTCCAAGGTTCCAATGGATGCTGAATAAAACTAGTAATCATTCTGAATAAAAATAGTAATCATTCTGTATTATGACACCTCTGATACTAGTTGTATTTTGTTTATAATCTGCATGCTGATGATTTTCCAAACAGGATTAAAAGTATCACTTGCACAATAAGTTTATAAGATAGTTTAAATTACGTCAGGGAGTAAAAGAGGACAGAGAAAACTGGAGACTGAATAAGATTGTTGTAGCAGTTGAGGGGCATCATATTGGCTTCCTTAAATATCCATTTGATCTATATTTCCTGGCCACACTATTTAGCTTACAAAATGGATTCTAGTAATGACTGTTAAGAGAAAAAGGAAAAACAATGGTCACCACTTTTGATATATCAGTGTCTCTGCCTGCATATCTCTGGGGCTATTATTCAACTTGTAGGTTCATTCTATAAAACCTTTTGTTAGAGCTGTGATGTTGCTCTGGATGCCAAAGAGCCAAGTGTCTTAAGATTTTTGTGGATAATCTGAATGTTCTAATTTTCTCATGAATTTGTTGTTTATTATTCTAACATTATCAATTACTTTGTGTCTATTTATCCAAGGATGTGTCCCTTTCCTTATTTTTAACTTTTAATCGTTGAGAAATAGTTTTGAGAATGCAATCATTTCTTTTTCCTCTCCCCCACTCCTTCAATGTGGTGGTGAAACATGTATTTCTCCTTACATCTGTCTCCCCCCAACAGCCCCAGTTTTTTTTTTTTTTTTTTCAGAGAGCATTTATATATTTCTCTAATTTGAAACATGTCAAACTGAAATTAGGCCTTCTAACAAAAGACTGGAAAGCCCTAGAATTCATCAAAAGCATGGATACAACAATAGACTTCATGGAATTAAAAAAACTCTAGTTATCATAGGCTAGCCTTGATCTCATGATCATTCACCAGGACACAGAAGGTTAAGGAAAAAGTAGAGAACACCACTAGTGTTTCTAATAGGATATTCCAATGTTATTTCAGTTTCAGGAATTTCGTGCTCTCCCCTTTTCACTTCATTAGCAATTCAACATGTCTGATTTGCCAACACAATACTTTCAACTTACTTTACCCATTTGACCTGGAACAAAGTGAAAGCACATTTTGCCCAGTTGAAAGGTCTCCTGGCAAGTTGGTTAGCAACAGGCTTGCCAGTCCTGATTCAGCTAGCAAAGAACAAACACATTTCATTAAGACAATATTTAGTGTATTGACTTCCTCACTATGCGTTTTCTCTTTTATTTTCTTGAACCATTTTCCCCACTTGTAAGTTTTTTTTTCTCGTAATCTGAACAAGATTTCCAATTTCTTGAGAGCAGAAATGTCTACATTTCTTCGTGATTGTGGCAGTGATTAACACAGTTTAACTGCAAAGAACAGGTACAAGAAAAAGTTTATTTAAAGGAAGGCAAAAAGCGACACAATAATCTTATATCTTCCTTAGGTAGTTCAAAAGTTGTGGCTTGTTACATACCAATTAACGAACCAGGCTGAAACATCTACAAGTACCAATTTTACTGTAATGCTCTAAAATTTGGTCACTTGGGAATAACTTAACTTGTAGCATTGTAAGTACAGATGGGACACGAAGGTTCTTGGACAAATGCGGGCAGGCGCTCTGCTCTGCCTGTAACTTAACGACGTCAAGAGCAGGACGCCCAGAAACTGTGCCTCTGAGAGCTGCTCGCGTCCCCAGCGCACCAGATGCACCTGGACGCGGGACACCCAAGAAAGAGCAAGAACGTTCCTTAGCACTACTCTCCAGGCGAGGACCAAGCAGGAGGAGGCAGAGGACTGACTCCAGTCTTCTGTGTCCCCGGGTGTCCTGTCTCCCGAGGATACCTGCATAACTTAGTAGAGCAGCTAAGCACTAGTGCGTTTTAAAGTACATTTATGGTCGCCACGGTGCACACGAAAAGCTTGCGCCTATCCCCCAGAGTGCGCAGGGCCTCGGAGCCTGGAAACAAGCCCCTCCCAGCGCAGCTGTCGCTGCCGCCTGCGGGCTCCTTTCACTTTCTCACGGCCAAGTCACCCAGAGGGGCGCCGCTGCCGCCACCGCCACTGCGCCCGAGGACTCCGCCCCGTGCCGATTTGCTACCGGCCCCCGCCCGCCAGAGCCCCGCCCACCACAATACTCTTTGCCTGTGATTGGCACGAGCGGGCGGCAGCTCTGGCTCGCCTCTCCCATTGGCTAGAATACCCTGTCAGTCCAACTCTTGCCCACCGCCCCCTCCGCCCTCCTGAAAAGCCGTCCTCCTATTGGGAGAGTCTGCGGGCTGGGGGCGGGCGGGGAGCGCCAGTCCTGCGGCTTTCGGTCAATCGCAGACGCCCATCGCAGGAGGGAGGGAGGCGGGGGAGGAGAGGGGCGGGCTAGGGGAACATCTGGCCGGCGCCGCCGCGTGCGTGCGTGGTGCGTCCTCCCGCCCCCTCCCCTCCCCCGCCCCCCCGTGCCCCCCCCCCCGGCCGGCGGCTCGCGTTCGCTCCCTCGCTCGCTCCCTCGCTGTGTCTGGCAGGCTGCGGCCGCCGCTGGGCTGCTGCCATGGGGAGCCGTTGAGAGTGGGGCCCTCTTCGCTCCGTCGCGCTCCTCCGGCTGCCAGCGGGGTGGGCGGGAGGGAGGGGCGGGGGGAGCGGGCAACGGAGCCGGGATTGGGGGGTGGGGGGGCCGGGAGGGAGGGGGGCAAGAGGAGGAGGAAGCCCACCAAGTCCGGCGGCGGCGGCGGCCGGGAGGAGGAGGAGGAGGAGGAGGAGGAGGCGGAGGACGCGGCGGCAGCGGGGACGCGGTGACTTAGGGCCGCTCCGTGTGAGTCCCGGTGCCGGCCCCTGGCCCCTGACCCAGCGCCCCCTCCGCCCCCTGGCCCCTGGCGGGTGGGGGCGCAGCTGTGCGGCCCCGGCCGGCGGGGCAGTGCGGGCGGAGGGCGGGCCGGGCCGGGGGTGCCCCCGTGAGTGGAGTTAGTTTGTGTGGTTGGAGCTGTTGGGGCGGCGGGGGGCGGCGCAGCTGCGGGAGGCCCGGGCTCGGGGACGGGGCCGCTGCAGCTGCGGGGTCGGGCGGGGTGCGGGCTTGCCGTCTCCACGCCGCGCCCCCGGGCCGGTGCAGCTGCGGCGCGGGGCGGGCTCCCGGCCGGTGCAGCTGCGGTGGCGCCTCTCGGGTGCGGAGGGCGGCGGGCTGGGGGAGGGGGCTTGGGAGCCGCCGCAGCTGCAGTGGCGCCCGGGACGGCCGCGGCTCCGGGGACCGGTGCAGCTGCAGTGGCGCCCGGGGGGAGGGGTCCGGCGGGGGAGGGGGCCCCTCCCGGGCTGGTGCAGTTGCCGGGAGGCCCCGGGAGCTCGCGCGCGGTGGCGTCGGGGAAGCGGTAGCAACCACCCTCCTCCTCTCGGCTTCTTCTTACGACTTTTCTTTTGTTGTTGCCTTGACCCGGGTCTGTTTTCTCCGCTGTTGTTTAAGGTGTTTTCCTGCTGCACCGGCTCTACGCCTTCCACCTCCTTCCCTGTGGTTTTAACCTTCCTCTTTCCCCGTGTGCCTTGCACAGAGAACTACGTAAAGATTTGCATTTCTTCCCCACTACCCACTCGGCACCCCCGCCTCCACCTCTTTGAAAAACAAAACACCAACCTCTCAAACCCTCTATGGATCCTCCGGTAGCGAGATGTGAAGGGGTTGATTTGTGGAGTGGGAGTCGCTGGTCCATTGCGGTGCTTGGGGCTCATTAAACTGTCACTCACCCCCCACCCCACTGGGTAAATGGGGTGATTAATGCCTGATATATTGGAATGGGGCAAGGGCATTTGTGGAGAGTAGGTTGTGTAGCTGGGAAGGAATTTACCTCCAAAGAGTAGTTCCTGAACTTAGCGTTCATAATTATGTCATTCACCACGAAGTTAGGGAAAGTTAGGTTTGTGACTTTGGGAAAGGGAGGACAAGAGAGAGTGTTGGGTTTTGCTACTCTTTGCCACGGTTTTCTAAGAAGAACCATGTGGTTATCTCTGTGGGGGTGGGCGGCTGGGACACTCGCCCCTCAGGCCCCAGTTCCTTTTCTAGTCCTCACCCTCCCAAGAGTCTGTGATGTGTTTGACATTCATAATTGTCGCAGCACCTTGCACGGCACTGGTCAGCCCAGCTTTGCTGAGCCCAGCCCGGGTTACATTACAGTTTCATCAGCCACTAGAAAAGACCCACAAACTCTAACTAAAAAGTTCCCCAACTTAAGAGATTTAGGTTCCTCTCCGCCCCCCCTCCCCTGAAAGGTTTTCTTGTGATCATGAACATTACAGAGTGATCCAAAATAACTAAATAAAAAGATTGTTATGGGACAGAGATCAAGGGGAAGACAAGGTTCTGCTTTTCCTGAGCAGACAGATCAGATATGTAGGTGCAGCATTCATTTTAAGTAACTATAGCAGGTTGCATTAGTTTATTAATTTTTCTCATTGAACTGAAATACTTTCCAGGATTTCAGAAAGTGCACTTTCAGCTTTGTTGATACCGAGAATTGAAATTTGCATTAACTGTGGCAGTGTGAGAAATTTTCCTAAGAAGGTAGTTGTAGATAAGTTGTTGAGTAAGAATGAAATAATAAGGTGAACCAGGCTGAAGTAATAGTTCTTAATAAGTCTGCCAACATTTCGGAGATATATACCATTATCTCTGCAGGAAAAAAAATGCTGTAATAATGTTGAAATGGGACTGGAGATGTCAAATGGGTTGGTTTAAAAATATCCCTAAGCTGCCTTTGAAACTAAACGTTGGAGTTGAATAAAAGTGAATCTGGATTTCCTGAATAGCACCGTGGCTTGAGTGTGCTGTCAGTATGTAAGCCAGTCCACCAACTTAAGACAGAAGTGTTGCTATTCCATAAATACAGTAGAACTCCATATGCTGAGTTTTTCAATTTCTTCTGTTAGAAAGTTTAGAAAAAAAGGAAGACTTTGAAGTATTTTGTTTATACTAACAGAAGAGAAAAGTTCTCCTAAGAAAAAGCTGGTGGCAGGAGTGTAGAGGAGTAGCATATGGCATTAAAAGGAGCACAGCTGGAGGTAGCATTTCCATCTGAACATGATGTCAGAGCAGCTGACAGCCTGCCATCCCTCAGCCTTTTATTCTAACACACAGACAGGGAGTTAGTGTGTGCGGATCTGTGGTGGAGAAGGTATCTCATTCCTCTCTAACATCATCTCCACTTTGCATCTGTCTCTCTTAGTCTGCTTTTTTTCCACCGATGTAACAGACCTGGAGCCAGCAAGACTCAGAGGAAAGGACTTAATCAGGTTTATGTGTCCTAAAGGTAGGAGTAGCAAGAGATTAGATTGAGCATATTTCTGTTTTGGTGTTTTGTTTATTTAATTGTAAAAAGATCACATTACTTTTCTAACCCATTTAGGAATAATATATGAAATTGAGTATTAAGTAACGATCTTACTGGAGTTGAAAGTCTTATGCTTGCTTAGTGTTAATTTTTATCCCTTTTACTTGAGCAAGTAAATAACTTTAATACACTGAAATATTTCAAGTTTTTAAATGTTAAGAAAGGCTTTGAAATATTGCTTTTGAGATCACTTTGGATTAAAATGCTTTTTTGTTCACTGCTCTTTTAGATTCCTTTTGCTGGGGGTGGGGGGCAGAAATAGTAAACTGTCTGGAATTCATCATTCAAACTTATATGAGAAGATTATTCTAGTTAAGAAGCTAGATTGTTGTGTAATTAATTCCACTGTGAAACTTTATTCTTCAAAACATTCAGCAGCACTACTGAAACATACAGCTGTAGTGCTTTTGAAACCGGAGGTTTTTTAAGAAGAAGGGGGAAAAAAAAAACTTTTGTCCTCAGGAGAATAGTTTGGTTTCCTCATTTCTCTTTCAAATATATATTTAAGAGATCTTTTATTTCAGCATAACAATAATTATTTGCAGGAGTTTTTGTGTTAGCGACTAATTTAGAACTTGTAGATTTGAGCTGCCTGAATTGGCCAGACAGCTGTAATCGCACTCCTCTATTCTTAATCTCTTTATCTGGGCAGCAGCTGCCATATGGCCACAGTCAGCTGGATCAGATGTTTATAAGCTTCCTTCTTCGTCCCTCTCTGTCCTCTCAGCCTCCTAATTTGATCACGGCTACCTTGTGAGCTGCCCTCCAATCTTTATTTTTAGCCCTCTCAAGGATTAGGATTGATGTTAGCTGTGGGGCACTTAAAGTGATTGTATTGTAAATCTTGGTTTATTCTAGCAGTGGCATCTTGCAGAATGTATCTGGGGTTAGGATGAAAGTTTTAGTCTATCTTGAGCAAACTATAGGAGGAGGAGGAAAGTAATTTGTGAATATTAAATTAATCCACATCCATTCCCAAAATGCACTTGCTTAGATGGATGGTATGGAGCCTTCGTCTGGTCACAGGAAAGGGGAAGTCAGATTTTTCTTTATTTTTAAAGAGTTTGTCCATCACAGTTGAATTTTGACCCTTTGTACATTTTCTGTCTGTCTTCTCTCTCTCTCACCCTCCCTCACCAGAAAAAAAGCCAAAGATGCATAGGTGAATAGAAGCTAGTGGGAAAACAAAATATATCAAATTATATTGAAACAAAGTATTTTCTGTTAGCAAAGGTGAGGCAGAGCTACCAAAAAAAATTTTTTTTGTCAACCAATTTAAAAAAAAAAGTTTAAACCTGTAAAGCTTTGGGGTTTCATTTGAGTGATATGCCTTTATTTTTTAAAGTTTGAATTAATTTTTAATATGGAACTTGTTTTGTCTTGCAGCAGACCAAAGTTTAGATGAGAATTTTCACATTTAAATAAAACCCCTATGATTCCTAATAGCATTGAAGCACAGGTTCTACAAAGAAACAGAACTCCCCCCCTCAATTTGTTTAAAAAAAAAAAAATCTTTGGATTTGTTCATAGTAAAGATGATCTTTTCCATCTGTTGGTGTAGTTCCTTCTGATCTCGTACATGTGTGCTATACCTGCAAATCTTAAGGCATTAACATCTGTTTTTATACACAGTGCTTTTGTTGTTGTAACACTCTGACTTTAAAAGTAAGTTGTTTGCTAATTTCTGGACTAATTATGCAATTTCATTTTTTTTTTCTTGATTCAGCCAAATGTGTGTATTCAAACTGCCTTGTAAGTACAGTCAGGTATCGAAAGTATACAGTAAAAAGAATGGTTGAACAAGTTTTCTTAAATCTTCCTGAATATATCTGGGACTTTCCTTTGTTTATTATGTGAGTTATTCCCCTTTGAAATTAAAGTTACCATGTAGATTTTGTGGGACATACTTTGATGAGACAGTTAGTCAAGTTTCTTTTGAAAGAGATCTAAATTCTTGTTTCCAGTTAAGAGGCTGTGGTTAAATGAAGGCTTTTAAAACTTGACCAAAGTTCAGGGA